GTCATACCTTTCACTGAGTAGACACAGCGTACTTTCCTGGGTCCTACTAGACAACACAGTTTCTTGTGCAATATGATTCCTGACAGTCAGAGTGTATGCAGGAGGCGGTAGCTAAAATTTATCATCTAGCAGTTCTATTTCCAGTCCTATTGTGTGCCCTCAAAACTTCCTTTTGATTGCTCTCCTCTTCACATTCATCTGTTTCTCAGATTAAGGATCTGGTTTTACAGTGAGCCTGCCCCAGACAGTCAGCTTTCATGCAGGAATGGTAGGTTCTGTCACACTGCTTCATGACTATTGAGGAGCATTTAGCTCTCAGGAACCTATTCTTGTGAAGGCAAACAGGAACAGTTCTGTGCTTTGAAGTTGCTCCTCACATCCCCCTATCATACAGAACCATAGAGATGAGGAAAGCAACACCGTTACTCAGTTTCATCCGGATCCTGGTTGGGCAGGAAAGTAAAAGACAGGGAGACTTGCTGAGATCTTCCTCTGCAAGGAAAAGGGAATTTCACACGCTAGTTCTGCTTCTTTGGCTCCAAGGAACGGAACGAGTCTGAAGAGGAACACAGTTTCCTGCATAAGAAAGACTACTGATAAGGGACTCTCCATCAGGTAACTCTTCCTCACTGTATGGTTGCTACTGCCAGTATTGGTAGGAAAGGCCTGAAAATTCACCAACTCAACAAACACTTCAGCCTACTACCATTTTATAACCCCCAAAATCTCTACCTAGTAGAATCTCTTCTCCCACAAAAGAGAAAGAACTCACCTCTCCAGACTTGGAGAAGAGGTGGAAAGGAAGCTTTTTCTCTGCTTGTAGCAAAAGAAGAGAGTTTTTACTCATCCCCTGCTTTACTTTTTTTTTTCCTGCTTTAATTAAAACAGAAGTAGTATTTAGATAGAGTTATAATACAGTAATACAATTATTGACCAGTAAATCAGGAAAAAAGTGCAACTAGTCTACTGCAAAAGCAAAGGACTAGTTTAGAACAACACAGAATCTAGTGAAATAGTGCCATGTGGATCCCGTAGTCAACTGGGCAAGATCATGAGAAATAATGACTGCTTGCCCTTCTTAATTAGGGAGAGATGGGACCGTTGCATAGATCCTAAAGGAAGGCACATTTAAGACTACAGTTCTTGTCCCAGACTACAGTACTTAGCTAAAACAAAAAGCACCAATCAGCGAATAATTTTTACAGGAAATATGTGGGGAATAGGCAAAGTGTTTGGAATGAAATCCTAGAAGGAAAGTAAACTTTCTGGGATGGGCAGAATTTGTTTTGTTTGTTCTTGAACTCTGCACAAGAGTCTTACACATTCATCAATGAGGACATCGCAGGTTAATCTACTGTTTGTAAGCACAGGCACTGGCAAAATCCTCTCTCCTCCATTCTTAGCTCTGCCTAAGAAAGTCAATCAGCAGCTGCATCTACACAACTTCACATTATGTTCTACAGCAGTACTGCAAACATTTTTTTTTCCTACAGTATAATTATTTTCAAATACTTTTAATATATTTGATGTCTTTTCCAGTCTGAAAGATTTGCCACCAGTTTACTATGGAGGAGAAAAGGATGGTCAACAGAAAATAGCACGCACTTTCTTGACAGCTTTAGGTTTAGACATATACTGCTTGACCCTACAGCTCAACTTCAGTTGCTCAAAGGCAGACTCACGTAGATGGACACAGCCAAAAATGATCCAGGAGTCAAAGGGGACTCACTCTAATATAATTTGCTTTAATATCTAGTACTGCTAAGGTAAGTAAACTAGAGGACTCCATCTCCAAAGGTCTTCCATGGTGTCTACAACTTAAGTAGATGGGCCTACTCAAAAACTTTAAATAAATTATTTAGTTTGCTGAAAAGCAAAACTCACCCCCCCCCTTCTTTAAGCAATACTATATCTATTTCACACCAAGAGTTTTTCTCTTTTTTTCCCCCTTTTAAAAATTTTAATTAGAAAGTGACAGGAAAAGAATTTAATTATTTCACAATGCAGCCTTTTCATAAACATACAATTATGTTCATTTCATGAGAATTTATCTTCACTGTGAAATCAATCGTCACAGTCTCCATTTACTATACATTACCAAGTCACATTTGATTCCTGTCAGAGAACTGTTGACTTCTGCAGTAAATCAAAATGACAGATACTGTTAGTTTCCTTCTGCATCTATCCCCAAGCCTCAGCTAACTCAAGATGGTTTTTCCTTCTATGCAGTGAAATGAGCATTTTCTTGGTAACTATATTTCAGAACTGGAAAGGTTTTCATAAATGGAAAAAATGCAGTGCATAATCCAGGAAACTATTGAAATGTACAGTATCAGAAACATATGGCTGTAGCAAATACCTATGCAGTGAGGGGCTGGGAATGAAAAAGAGAACAAGCTTATTAAAATTTGTCTCCTAAAGGGATTTTGCTTGAAAATTAAAATACTTTAATTGAACATTAAGAAAGTTTGCATAGTTGATTAAAAAAATGCTGCAGATTATGGGGAAAAAAAAAAGAGATACAGAACAATCTCCATACTATCATGGAAGTTGGAACAGATGATTTTGCCTTTGTTCTTTAATGATCTACATCTTAAAAAGCAAAATGGTTCCATAACCAGAACCCTCAGTGGGCAAACTCAGAAAGAGAAAGCTGACTTCTTTCTCAATTGTAAGGTTTTTTTAATTTAAAAAACCCAAACACCATCCCCCGCTCCCCCCCAAAAAAAACACCAACCTGAAACTAAGTTAATTTTTAGATGAATTTTGAAAAGCAAGCCATATTCACACACACACATTCAGAAACCAGAAATCAACAGATTAGCATAAAGTAAAAGAACAATGAGACTCCTTATTTCGACAGATCTTTACCAATTCCCTGTTTCAGTTTCCCTAAGAATCTGGGACAGGGAACACAGTCCCCAGTTGAGGGCCGGATCACTTTACTCAAGCTCCAATACCCCTGCTGCTGCTGACACAATCTATGAATTTAGGAGACAGTGGAAAGTGATACTAAACTTGTTTTGACCAATTTGTGCCAGCAGGCAGATTTTTAGAAATATCAAAAATCAGCTGTTTTATAGTAACAGAGGAATTGCTGTTGTAATTTCAATAAATATTTCTTCAAGAACAAGTTCTGCCTCCTTTTAAGCTGTAAGACTGTCTTCATAAACAGCCACTCCCAAGGCAAAGTTATTTTGTCGTCTTATCACTGGGCTGCCGTGTCTTAACATGCCCGTATAGATATAAAGATGCTTTTAGGGCAGCTTGCGGATGCTGGAGGGTCTAATAACTCATAGCCCAAACGGGCAGGGTTATTACAGACATGGCAAACATTTCAGACATCTGATTCCGAAATCCTTCCTGTCCAGCGTGTATGAAGGTTCAGTGAAAATGTGAATGTGCAGCTATATAACGCCCAAATAAATGCCAAACTTGCCAATGGAAACGCATGCTTTTCTTGGATTTTCACAGCAGCTCAGTGATTAATATTTAAGATGATGAAAATATTCAAAGCCATTAGCCAAAACAAAGGAGAAACAATGAGCTAAAATTAACAGATTTCTCATGGAAGGAACTTAATATGTACAGCTGATATCAAGCCACCAGGACAGTTATCTTTCTTGACTGATGTACATGCCATGTTGGGACAATTCACACATATCTATAGAGAACAGTCAGAATTACATTAATTTCCAGCATCTGAAGATCATTTATGTTTTCAAAAACATGAAAAGTTTTTCAAAGCTTTTTTCTGTCCTCCAGAAATGCAAGTGGTCAAGTGTTTGAAATCTTATTCCCAGCAAGTATGTGTGCGACATACTTTCAAAGGGCATCTCCTGGCAGACAATGTCCACATGTGTAGGCTAGCTGAGATGTCAGCAGATGTAGGCAAAGCCTTCATGGGGTAGTTCACAGCGAGACTCACATTGCATCCTCATGTTTCTGGGGCCAGCAGAAACCTGACAGCCCAGAAATCCTGTGCTTTGCTTTTGCTTTGCAGCAGGGAGGGGCATTCCTTGCTTCTGAAAGGACTATTTCTGGCCAGTTCAGGAGCAACAACAGCTGGCTCTGCAGGGAGCCACATCCAGCCCTCATCATCTCGGACAACATCTGAATGTATTGCCAAGCTTTGGCGATGCAAGGGGGGAGTGGGTGTGAAGAGACTTAGCAGAAGAGAAGAGGAAAACAAGGGCATCTATCCATGCTACCACTACAATTAAATTTTACATATTTTCTTGAAAAAAGAACTTACAGAAATTGCACCTTATCTGCTGAAATGCAATTCTACTGAGAGAGCTGCAAATGCATCACTTCAGTAAAAAAAAAAAAAAAAAGAAATTTACAGGTCACTTGTATGTCTTTAAGTGTTGTCATGTTCCTTGACTTATTTGTGCACAGTAATCTGAACTGGCTGTGCATCAGGAGTGGGCTTCCATGAAGTACCCACACCACTTAAATCAGAGGATGGAGTCTGAAAGGAAAAGTATGAGGCAAATACTACAAAGCTAAGATTCTAATTAATTAGGGAAGCAGAGGAATCTCATTTGTTCTCCATTCAGCAGTATTTAAACCCAAACAAACAATAGAATGACTCCCAAGATTACAGACAGGCAAGATTTTCCACTGGAGAAAGTGAAAAGCTATGACGCTTTTGTGATTTACACCAGTTTAATCTGGTCACAAGGTACAGAAGTCATGAATGTTTTGGTAAGCCTAGGTGATTGCCAAACAAAATAAAAATAGGATCAGGAGATGATTATTCAGCCATACAGAAGAACTAGATGACTAATCATGGAGCTGGTTCACCCTATGCGTGGCTAGGAGGACTAACCTTTCATCCCAGGGTTATGCAACAGCAAAGAAGCAGATAAATCAAGAGTATCAAGATCTTTGTTCACTCAACACAGTGGAAATATCAGAACTGCACTCCCAGTTATTAAAATGCTCAGCTAGATACAGTTTTATAAAAGCATCTGCAGAATAGCACATTTTCTTACCTCTGCTCCGTGTTAAACAATGCAAAGATATGTTTGCTAGACATGAAGCTCTTTTCAACATCTCGCACTTTCAAGTTGTCCAAAGGAAGCATATACTTCTTCTCTTTTTCCTAGGATAAAAAAACCAACAGATTAAAACAACACTGTGTGAGAAGTCTCAAAGAAGCCTAATCTCAGCAAGCTCTGTTTAGTTGGTAATGCCTTCAGTACATTTATCAGCATAAGGGAATATCCAAAATTGAAATGTCTGCTTATCTTTCATAGACATACCTGCAACAGAAATGAAACCTCAATTCCAGTTTCTGTTTTTCACTGACCCTTTTAAAACATTTCCTAATAAAAAAATTCCATCTCAAACACATAAGCATCGACATTTATTATTCTTCATTCCTCTGAATTCTAAAAAGAAAAGGGTCAGACTTAACTAACATGAAAGTGTCTGATCAATACAGAACTCTTCTACCATGTCTGCGTAGCAACCGGAGTAACCTGTGACATAAAATTAATCTCTATCTAGAATTACTATTATTAATTATTTAGGGGTGGCATTTGATGATCCCAGGGGTAAATTTTCATTCCTCCAGTGCAAAATACAAAAATCATACAAATAAATCAAAATCATACCATCATCAAGGTTTTATATATACCATATACAAACAAAACCAGACTAATCTAACCAGCTTGTTTTTCCAAACAG